TGCTCTCTCCCCCCAACCCCACCCCCACCCTCTCCCCGTCCGCCGCTTCTCCTGCCTCCCCTCCCGCCGCCGGCCCGTAGGAACCCGGTCTGCTTGCTGCCTCCTCCGGAGAAGCCACGGTTTCTGCCCCCGCCTCGCCGGATATCCTCGCCCGACCCGCCGGCCCGCTCGCTTCGATTCGTTTCGTTTGTTCGATTCTTGCTCCCCTGTCCTGCTGTACATATCCGCTCGGTCGGCGCCCGGATTTCTCGGCGGCGTGTCTGGATCTGAGCTCGCGCGCGAAATCCCGGCTCGATTCGCTCCCAGGCGCCGCGGCGGCCGGTTTGGATCTCGCGGGGTTAAGAGAGGGGAGGGGAGGGGGTCAAGGCCGTTGATTCGTCGGGAGCCAGGCAGCGGTACTCGGGGATGGATCACATCGTCGGCGGCAAGTTCAAGCTCGGCAAGAAGATCGGGAGCGGATCCTTCGGGGAGCTCTTCCTCGGTCAGCTCGCCGCCCCTCTCCAATATCGTTACTCTATTATTTTTCTCCTTGCTTTGGGTATGGGAACCAAGATGCTGACTTTGCTGGTCTTCTTGCTTGCAGCTGTGAATGTGCAGACAGGAGAGGAGGTCGCCGTCAAACTGGTACTGGATTCCGTCCTACTATCCTCTACCAAGAGCTTTCGTTTACTTGATTGATTCATTCAGCGAGCAACAGCTTGAGAAGAGTCGCACAGTTTGCTGCTTGCGCTAAAAGATCACCATCATAAGATGCACGCCGTAGTGAAATGCTTGTCTTGTTGTACCTAGTCTCAGTTTAGCTAGTGCAAAATATTTAGCCGCCGGGGGTTGCTGAGACGCTGCTTTGTGGCCCTTCTTCAGGAAAATGTCAAGACCAAGCACCCGCAGCTCCATTACGAGTCCAAGCTCTACATGCTTCTCCAGGGAGGAAGTAAGTCCATGGCCATTGACCTTTCTTTGACCATGTCAATCAATGTGGTTTGATTGGTTGCTGATGGTGAAATTTGAGCTGAGAGATGTTTGTTTGTTCTCGCTTGAAGCTGGCATTCCGCACCTCAAGTGGTTCGGTGTGGAGGGGGAGTATAATGTGATGGTGATTGATCTTCTCGGGCCCAGCCTCGAGGACCTCTTCAACTACTGCAGTAGGAAGTTCTCGCTCAAGACCGTGCTCATGCTTGCTGATCAGATGGTGAGAACACCTCCGGTTCATTGTTATACATATATCCCAGTTTCCTGTTTTATACAGATTTCTGGTGTTAACCACATTCCTTTCCTTTCGCCAAACATTCCAGATTAATCGAGTTGAGTACATGCATCAAAAGGGATTTCTTCATCGTGACATAAAACCTGATAATTTCCTTATGGGCCTCGGAAGGAAAGCCAATCAGGTTTGTACTTATATCCGCCTCTCTGCTAATTTAATTACACTCTTGTACTACAGACTACCATCTTGTTTAAAAGTCAAATATTGTTTATGCATTCTGCCAGTTAACCGCATAGCTTATGGTGTAGTGTGTTGATGTTATTAATTGTGGAGTGTTGGGTTTGTGGTTTGCATTCTTGAAGAAGGTCCAACAATGATGCTGTAGTAGAGAAACATGTTTTGACTGCTAAATTACTGCTCCAGTAGTCAAATATCCAATGAAGTATGTTAAATGCTATTGGTCGTGTTAACATGCTTGTAATGGTGTTGCTGCTTCTGCTGTAAAAAGGATATATGGTTAATGACCAAGAGTGGATGACCTAGATGGTCCATTGATATAGGCTGTTAGAGCGTAAGTTACAGAGAAGGTCTATTGATATAGGCAATCAGTTATGCAACTAAGGCCATAAGCTAACAATTTTTTTTTGATGAAACACATGATATATTTCTGAATCCAACTAATTTTGTATATTGTTGACATTCATGCCAGGTATATATAATAGATTATGGACTTGCAAAGAAATTCAGAGACCTTCAGACTCATAAGCACATCCCCTACAGGTTTGTTTAAACTACTTGTACTGCGGCAAAATATAAATGATGTTACAGGGGCATTGTCAACAACTAAATGTACTTTCCTTGTATTGATTATGATGCCATGTTCACTTCAATATGCAGGGAGAACAAGAATCTCACTGGAACTGCACGCTATGCTAGTGTCAATACCCACCTTGGCGTTGGTGAGTTTGCTGTGCTTTCTGAATGATGAAATGAGTAGCTAATTTAAGTTTTGTCTAACATAAGTCGGTTCTGATGCAGAGCAAAGCAGGAGAGATGATTTAGAATCACTTGGTTATGTACTTATGTACTTCCTCAGAGGCAGGTTAGTGCGTCATATCTATCATTCCATACATGCTGTTTTCTTCTAACGTTTTGCACCAATGATGTATTTATGTTTCTCTAAATAATGCTAACTTAATCCATCTTTCTACGTTCAACAGCCTGCCATGGCAGGGGCTGAAAGCAGGCACTAAGAAGCAGAAATATGACAAAATTAGTGAGAAGAAGATGCTTACTCCTGTGGAGGTAATTCATGTTTGAAACTTAATGTGTCCCTTTTTTAGTAACCTCAGTAAACTGACACTTGCATATGATAATTTGTGCTAGGTACTCTGCAAGTCTTACCCTTCAGAATTCATTTCTTACTTCCACTACTGTCGATCATTGCGGTTTGAAGACAAGCCAGATTATTCTTACCTAAAGAGACTATTCCGTGATCTCTTCATCCGGGAAGGTGTGTATTTGGACCAACTTTACCTTGTTCTCATGAATTTCTGCCTGTACCCATTTCTAACTGCATTATTTCTGCAGGATACCAATTCGATTATGTGTTTGACTGGACCATTTTGAAATATCCCCAGATAGGCTCCAATCCAAGGATGAGGGTATGTAGTCTTTGGTTGTAATAATTGGACTACACTGTCCTGTCATGAAGATTGTTAACTTTGTTCACTATTCTTGGTTCAGCCAAGTGAAAGAGTCAGTGGAGCTGCTGGACCTTCTATCGAGAAGATAGAGAAGGCCCCAGGTTTGTTCTTGTGCACATGAGAGTTGTTGTAATGAAACTATGATACAAACCATGCAATCATGACAGCCTAGAAGCATCTTGTGTCACAGGCGAAGCATCTGCTCGGAGGAATCCCAGTGCTTCTCTGAATCAGAGTGACAACCATGCAACCCGACCACGGGAAACTGTATCGATGTCATTAAAGGAGATTGTAAGTCCAACTCCCTGTTCCAGAATAGAAGAGATATAAACTTTGCTTCGCCGCATGTAGTGGACCTTCTATGTGTGCCATGAACTTGACAACCATGAATGTCTCATTTCTGCAGATGCATAGCACAGACCGGTCCGGCGAAAGGACCATGGAGAGGACCGTGGAGAGACCTCGTACATCCTCCCGCACAGGCAGTGCATCGAGGAGAGCAGTTGCATCAAGCAGCAGGCCAGGCTCATCCATGGAACCGAGCGAGCAGCAGTACAGCCGGACGAGCAGGTTGTTCTCCAGCAGCAATAACGGTGGCAGCCGCCCGTCCAGCACCCAGAGAGTCAATCCTGGGGTGAGCGAGTCAAGGGCCACGTCCCTCTCACGGGCGGCGGTCGCAAGAGGGTCGCGTGACGAGCCCCTCCACCGCAGCCTCGAGCTCCTGTCCCTCGGCACCGGCAAGAGGAAATAACAGGAAGGGAGGGGGACAAGGGAACCCGAACCCGAACCCGAGAACGAACGATGGAACAAGGAAACGACGCCGTTTGCGACTCTGTAAATGACAGGATACCACCACCACCCTATTCGTCAACAGCCCGCCTGGAGCATCCCATAATTTCCATGGTGCTTCCAGCCTGTTGGTAGTATCACCACCACCATCATTGTTTGATAGATAGCAATAATTTGCTGCTGCTGCTGCTGTTGGTTGTTGTTGTCGTCGTCGTCGTCGGTCGGCGTGTGCGCGTTAGGGCCAAGTCCTAGCTTCGTGGTGATTAATTTAGAGGTGGTCAAGATTCAACATATTTATGTTTCTTTATTACCTTCCCGCTGGGACTTGGCAAACTTTTTTTCCGAGACTTTGCTGTAATTTTCTCTCCTCTCTTTGTTTGTTGCAACCTCTGGATCTGCTTGTTCAACAACAGAAAGTTGATGAAAGTAACTTCCAGTATAAAATTCCAGCCTCCTTGGTTATAGATATTCTTGCATTGCTTCGGTATCGATGTATATGAACTGTGATTGTACAAGAAATGGCCTTCTTTGGAAGAGAAATCATGTAAATTTCATAAAAAATGCTGTGGCTGTTGCCAGTAAAACCAAAACGATTTTTTTGTCCGTTAGAACAGAGGAATAACATTTTTTTACCATTATTAAAAATATTTATACAGCTGAATATGTTTTAAATTTTTTGACATGAAAACAGTTTTTAAAAGTTGATTCCTTATTCGCTAGAAAAGTCCACGGAAGTAAAATAACCCTGTACCTGTTGCCACGCGTGTCACTGGCAGGTGGGACCAGCATGTCAGCCGTCCCCGTCGTTTTCACTTTACCCCAGAACGGAGTAAAAATCACGCCTGGCCTCCACGCTCGAGGAGGATTGACGGAGTGACGACTCTCTGACTAACCCTAGCCTAGCCGCCTAGGGAGCGAGCGGGGAGGCGGCCGGAGCCGGAGCCGGAGATGGAGGTGGTGGCGCTGGTGAGCGGCGGCAAGGACAGCTGCTTCTCCATGATGCGCTGCCTCGACTACGGCCACAAGGCAGGGCCCGACCCCCCCACCCCGTCCAGTCCAGTAATCTCGTCGGCGTTTCCGCCCTTGCTGAACCTCGCCGCTAATCTGCCCGCAGGTCGTCGCCCTGGCCAACCTCGTCCCCCTCGACGACGCCGTCGACGAGCTCGACAGCTACATGTACCAGACCGTACGGCCCGCCCTCCCCGCTCCCGCGCCACATGTTTTTTTTCTTCTTCCTCTCCGCGCCGTGTGATGAATGTGGTCTCTGTTTTCTGAAATTTGCTGGTTGCTTGTGGTCTTTGGGGATCTAGGTCGGGCACCAGATCGTGGTCTGCTACGCCAAATGCATGGGCCTGCCCCTGTTCCGCCGCCGCATCAGCGGATCCACAAGGCAACATATCTGTCCTCAGCTTTTTGTTCCCCCAAATGTCATAGCTCTATTGGGATGAATTTGATGTGACTTCGCTCAATCGGCCATTGTTGTCCGCAGGGATCATGCTCTCAAATACAGTGTCACCGCGGGAGACGAGGTGGAGGACATGTTTGCCCTGTTGAGCGAGGTGAAGCGGCGAATTCCGTCTATTGGCGCCGTGTCATCGGGCGCCATCGCCTCCGATTACCAGAGGCTCCGGGTCGAGAGCGTCTGCTCGAGGCTGGGCCTGGTCTCGCTCGCCTACATGTGGAGGCAGGACCAGACTCTGCTTCTCGAAGAAATGGTAAAATGTGAAGAGTTCAGTTTTTCTGTTCCTCTTTCGGCAGATTGCCTGGTCTGGCAGAAACTGTTTGCTCACGTTGTCACTTTTGTTCTGATCTTTATCCCTACAGATAAGAAGGGGCATCGTGGCTATAACAGTCAAGGTATACAGTGCCGTTTTCTTCAACTTGCTTGCATCATTGCATTTGTCTCTTTGGAACAAGTGGTTGATCCTATGGCGTTTATAGGTGGCTGCAATGGGGTTGAAACCTTCTGTCCACTTGGGGAAAGAACTGGCTGAACTAAAGAGCCATCTGCTCCAAATGAATGAGTACGTTCCTAACTCCTTTCTATCCATGCCTTTTGGCCTTTAGGACATTTCATGTTAGAAAGAGTGGCTTCTCGTCCCTTCTGAGTGGTTATGGGCTTGAATGAGCAAGGGGATTAATTTCATGTAGTGATCAATGAGCGAGTATGGTTTCTGAAAGTACATCGCTATTGCAGTCATGGATACGAATGCTAGTTTTTGCCTCTTATTGTCCTCAAAAAGTAGTTGGCTGGTACACCCTCTGTTTTTATTTACTTTGCACATTAGCTTTGTCCTAAGTCAAACTTTATAATGTTTGACCAAGCTTATAAAAAAACAATATGAACATTTACATTAACAAATATATATGATGTGAAAATATATTCAATGATGAATCTAACGGTACTAATTTGGTATTGTAGATGTTAATAATTTTTCTATAAACCTGGTCAAAACAAGGTTTGACTTGAGACAAAAGCTAATCTGCAGAGTAAATAAAAAGGGAGGGAGTAAAACTTAGTTTGTCTAGCTCTTGGTTGTATGATGGATTGACTGTGAATATTACTTCCCCCATTAGGTCTTATGTTTAGTGTTGGTGAACTGGCTAGTAATGTTTTGTTGGTTCCTGGAAGCAAACTCTGTTTTGTCAGGAATAGAAATGGGAGTCTCCTGTAATGAAAGAAATGTACCACAGTTTGTTCCTCTCTGCATGTCTTATTCTCATTGATCTCTATGTAAATGCTGGTCTTTTGCTCGCATATATTTTCATCTTGTAATTTATCTTCTTTGTTTATCCTATTAGGAGTTTTGGAATCAATGTCTGTGGTGAAGGTGGAGAGTACGAAACACTAACTCTTGACTGCCCTCTATTTCGTGTAAGTTTGAGGAGCTGACTGAAAACATCATGACACTTGTTTTAGAATGCTAGGTAGACCGTCATCATGACCACTTTCCACGCCATGTTGGCACTGTCCATACTAACATGTTCATCAGAGATGCCTGCTGAGTTTTCTTATGCACAGTAATGTTCTCCTACCAGTAAACACCAGCAGTTGAATTTTCTGCACTATAATATGCTATGTTTGCAGAATGCAAGGATTGTCCTTGATGATTTTGAAGTGATACTCCACTCTGCTGATTCCATTGCTTCAGTTGGAATTCTTCATCCGCTGGCATTTCATGTTGAGCCCAAGCCAGGTTCATCTAGCAGCATTGGGGATGGTGTTATTGCTCAAGAGAATTCTAGTTGCTTGTACGAAGTAAATGGAGCTATTGCACACACTGATGCGGAAGACAAACAGACCTTGAATCCGACACCAACTTATGATGCTTACCCAAATACAAATTTACACATTTCAAAGACAGGGAAGTCTTTGTTTTCCATTGGTTGTTGGATAGAAGAACCCTCTAGTGCTTCGCAAGGTGCATACTCCCGTGCTACTTATTTCCATGTTATTGAACTGTTCATAATTCTCTGCCTGGTAGGAGTACCTTATGTTCTATTTCATCTTGCTTTGTTGGACACTCACTTACAATTCCATTACGTCAATAGGCATGAAGGCAGATCTAGTCAAAGTTTTGAGCAGAATCGAGAATCAGCTCAAGGACGGAGGGTTAAGTTGGGCAAATGTTGTATATGTTCACCTCTACATTTCAAGCATGAAGGAATTTGGATTAGCCAATGAAGTTTATGTCAGCTTCATCACAGAACAGAAATGTCACCTTGGTGTTCCTTCGCGCAGTACAATTGAATTACCACTTGTTCAGGCTGGTTTAGGCCATGCATATGTGGAGGTTCTAGTGTCAAATGATCTGGTCAAAAGAGTTCTGCATGTACAAAGCATCTCATGCTGGGCTCCTAGTTGCATCGGACCTTATAGCCAGGTAAAAGAACACTCCATGATAATGCCATGAATTCATATTAAAAGCTGTCTGTAGACTAGTTGCTGTCTGCAGAGCGCAGACTAGTTGCCGGTATATTCAGTTGGCAAAGAGTGTTCACATATGATTACACTGGGACATGAAATTTCTTTCTAATGTCTTTCAGGCAACACTCTATGGAGAGATTCTCTATATGGCCGGTCAGCTCGGGCTTGATCCCCCTACGATGAAGCTCTGTCCTGGAGGTGCAACAGCTCAACTGGAACTAGCACTGCGTAATAGTGAAGCTGTGGCTAATGCCTTCAAGAGCTCTATCTTCTCTTCAGCAATACACTTTCTCGTGTACTGCTCTGCCCACCTGACATCCACTGAGAAGGAAGCAGTTGAACAAAAACTGCAGAACTCATATATTGCTCATTTGGATTCTGCAAGAAGTGGATCGTATCCTACTATTCTATATGTACTAGCACCGGATCTTCCAAAAGGGTAAGCATATTTTTCTTCTATCTTTTTTATCAGCAAGAAAACCCGTGTCATCTGGATAAACATGTTTGGTGATGCCATGCTGAAATTTATAAGAAATATGTGTTCCCATTTTTTCAGAGCGTGCGTGGAGATAAAACCAATATTGTATGTCCCTGCTGATGACTACAACGATAATGATGATGATGGAGATATTACCAGAGAGCCGGAGGCCGGAGGGTCAAAGCCATCACCGAGCAAAGTCCTGAGTGAGTGGAGCGCACAATACTCTGCCTTGCACGACTCATGCTGCCTGGTCAACACGGTCGCTGGGAAGATTTGCTCTGCTGTGGTTTCAGTCACGAATGACATCGCATCAAAGATCTGTCCCAGCACCGAACAATCACACCCCTCAAAGGAGCATTTGAAAGCCATAGCCAGATTCTGCGCTTTCCAGCTGGCAAAGACCCTGGCAGACAACGGCTTCTCCTGGGACGACGTGACGGTAAGTCTCAGGCCCGTGATTCCTTTTCGCAGCCGCACCGGTCCCGCCTCCTAAATCAGCATTACTGAATTCATCTATACCCGCAGATGCTGAGGTTCTACTATTCGGTGAAGC